GAGTCAGCTATTGGGGCAAACATCTCTGATGTAGAAGTTCTCTTCAAACCTGCCACGCCGACCACGTCACCAACAGCGGGACCAGATGAGCCAAGCAATGTTTGGAAGTGGGCTGCCATTGGTGTTGGTGTAGGAGTGGTAGTCATCATCTTGATTATTTTGATCGTGTTCTGGCGGTAAGATATAATTAACTCTATGTTGATTCTTTGTGATTCTTTGGAAGTCAACAGAATCTCGACAGTAGTCAGCTCGTTAATGGTTAGCCCTGCCAAAGTGTGTCGTGGAGGCGCAGTGACCTCATGGGTAGTGCGCGTGACTAACCATGGATCGAGCGGTCCAGGTTTATGCCCTGGCCGGGGACATTGTATTGTGTTGTTGGGAAAGACACTTGTCCCAAACAGTGGCTTTCTTCACCCGGGTGTATAAATGGGTACCGGCGAATTTGATGCCAGAGTAACCCTGCTATGGACTATCATTCCATCCAGGAGGGACTGGAAATACTCCCAGTCACTTCATTCTACAGAAACCGGGATAACCCCCGCCCTGATTGTCCCTGATGAGCCACTTGGCTCGTACGCAGACTTTATCCTTTTTTTTAACCTTCTAAAATGCCAAAGTGGATATAATCAATGTCTCTCGAGTACCACTCGAGAGTGGTGGAAGAAGAATTCCGTTGAGCAAAAGGTGAAGCAAAATATAACACGAGAGCTTTTTAGTTAGTTCTTTTCCTAATTTTTGCTTTATTTTTAGCCTAAAAAACAGATTACCACAGGTGAAGCGCATGCCATATGATGATCATGAAGAAGTCATAGCTATGACATCTTTCAACCGATCGTCAAGACCAGAACGTGGAGACGAGTGGCGGAGTTATACCTTCTATCAACCTTAACTAGTACTCTCTACAGCATTTAGCATATCTAGTTAAAGAACTTGTTCAATGAATGTGTTTTTTAAGACAAACTAAAGCACAGTAGAATCCTGATTTCTGGAATCCTCAATTATTCGAACCTCCCGATAACTCCAACCAAAAGTCGTTTCCCTCTCCTCAGTCGAACACTGTAATTTAACCCCCGATTTCTCGAACGTATCTCTCCGATTTTTCGAACAAATTTTCGTTTCCCTAGGTGGTTCGAAGAATCGGAATTCCACTGTATTTCATTTTGTTTTGCTGAGGTATGACCCACTTTAACTCGCCTTTGCTGCCTGTAGGCATGTCCAAATAGTTTTGTGATAGTTGTATATATTTTATTATATGGCTTGTCTTTTGTAGCCGATATAACGCGCGCTCTGATTAGCTAATTGTAGGACATTATTCTCCCGTAATGCCCACGGGACGATTACTGGCTTGTAAATCTTAGTTGCATAAGCCATTTTATATTTTTGTATTTTTAGCACATTTTATGCTTTTTATTNATTTAACCCCCGATTTCCGAACGTATCTCTCCGATGTTCGAACAGATTTTCGTTTCCCTAAGGTGGCTCGACGAATCGTAATTTCACTGTATTTCATTTTGTTTTGTTGAGGTATGACCCACTTTAACTCGCCTTTGCTGCCTGCAGGCATGCCCAAATTTGTAAATTTATATCGCTTTAAAAGAAATGAAACGCGTGTACATATATACATAGATAGTTTTGTGATAGTTGTATATATTTTATTATATGGCTTGTTTTTTGTAGCCGATATAACGCGCGCTCTGATTAGCTAATTGTAGAGCATTATTCTCCCGTAATGCCAACGGGACGATTACGGGTTTGTAAATCTTACTTGCATAAGCCATTTTATATTTTTGTATTTTTAGCACATTTTATGCTTTTTATTGATCTTTGTTTTAGTTTGTTAGGTTCTTTTTATGTGAAGCGCTTTTGAATATTTCTTAGTATTTCCGCTATATAAATGTATAATAATTATTATTATTATTATTATTATTATTATTATTATTAAAGCAAAAAGCCATATAATAAACAACTTATTACCGTCCAACGTTAGATTTTCCCGTAATAGAATTCTCTCCCGATTAATAAGTAGCTAATAATAAACGAACAAACGATTTTTGTCTTCATTTTGTTATATTTTAATGATAGAATATAAATTGGCAGCTAAAAACTGGAAAAAGCCTTTGTTTTTGCCTCTCAAGTTACATTGGCCCAGACTTATCGATGCCAAAGAAACATGAAAACAGCACATGCCTCATTGAATTTTTCTTGGGAGGGCTTCAAAAAGTTCACTGCAAGAAAAAATTTCGTCGACCCCTTAAGGACGGTGCCTACTAAATACAAAGGTATTTTCGTCAGATTAGTACCATCTGCAAAAAGTGGATCTTAGCAAGGGCTATTGGAATCCACAAAGAAAACTGGGGTACCTGAGCATTTTTTCGAGATAATCAGCCTTGAACAACAAACAATGCTGTCGTCAGCATTTTACTGAAAAAGACAGAAATTACATTTCTTTACAAATTTCTTTATAATTTGCCTTTACACACAGAAAAGCAAACACATTTATTACACCCGCTTTCAGTGTTACTTGCATAAGCGACATCTTTCGACCATCTCTCGACATTCCATCTTTCGAAATGCTATGTAAACGGCTGAAATACCGTTTACCTGTGAAACTGGCAACTTTTCCGGTTATTAGCGGAACAAATGAAAGTATATGATAATTACTGACCTCAAATGAATGAGAAAGATGGTGGACTCCCGATTTACGGGATAATTCAAATGATTATAGTGTAGGCGATCGGCTCTTAATAGTGACTTCCGGTAGAATTGGGCCGCTACCGCTCAGTTATATTCGAAAGATGTAAACATTCAAAACAGTCGATTTATCTCTCACAGAATGACTTCTTGATCTCCTAACCTTAGTTTGATGAGGTCAATAGCTCAAAACCTCTTGCAAATATTAGCCGGGGCAGTTCCTTTGTCATGAAAAACGCTAGTTTTGAGAAATTCAAGTTAAAAAATTTCAAACGTCAAAGTACAAAATTTTTTCATCAACATCATTAGAAACACCGTAGTTTCTGATAAGATGCTGTCTTAAGAAGTAAATACAAACAAAACTGTGATATATGAGTCATTGACATGTCCATTTGCTGCATTAGAAGGCGCCAGATCACAAATCCAACCCCATGGTTAGATGTAAACTCTCCCTTGGCCCAGGTTCCATCAAAGCCAACTGATACTGGGAGATTACACTGATGAGATTGACTGCTGTCCCTTTGAAAAATTTCTTTTAGTTCACATCAATTTTTCTCCAGTTCTTCATTAATAAGAACAAGATTTTGCTTGTACAGTTCAAGTTCATGAGCTGCCCAAGAAGTTGGGGTCACAGGGGGAGGCACATTTAGCGCTTCGCATATAGCAGTAATGCCCTCTCTGCCAAGCCTTACCTCATTTGCTGCAAAGACTAACCTGCTGTTGACGTCCTTTCCCTGCATGGTTCGAGGTACTTTATCACTGACATTGGGTTTGCCAGTGCTAAAGAACTGTGACAGTTCACAGGTATCACACTCAACATAGAGTGTACTACATAGGCCATAACCATTCAAAGGGTCTTCAAGAGTATGCACTGTACCTAAAAATGGATATATGTCTGAATTTATGAAAACCGTGTTAAAGACTTTGCACCAAAATAGCGGGCATGTTTTTGGAAAATCGGTTAGAAAATGTACATAAATATGGCC